ATTATTCGTGTTACTCATCGCAAACACGAGGATGAAATTATGCGCGTAGGTAGCGACATAAATAAAACCTCGTTGAAAATTTAAACACGTGCGGTCTCCGCCATTGATGAGCTCCGTTGAAAAAGCACCGGCAGGTGGGATCTTACGTTGTCGATAAAATGCAAAATTAAATTCTGCAAACTTACAAGCAGCGTACAGCATTTTTATCGGATGGAAATCAGATACATACGCATCAACGAAGGGAATGAAAAATGTCGCGAATGAAACAACAATTGAGATATGACTGGCGCGTTGCTGGAGAAAAAGATAACGAAAAGATAACGAAAATGTATTTCCCTTCTATATATATTTTAAAGTTATTATTAAATATATACTATATATTTATACGGTGCAATTGTTTCGTGTCTGTAACAAATGTTTATTGGAAAAGTTTTAAACGAGCCGGTCATTACATATCTCATCGTACATTGTTCGTATAAAATGAATTGATATCGAGTCTGGTTTTTTGCTTTGTTTCAACTCCAACCCGACTTTCTACACCCCGTAAATCATGGATTGTAACGTATGTAAATTTTTTCAGTCCGTCCGTAAAAATTGCCATGGGTGAGTCATATTTCTCCAAATTTAATACATCGCATGTATTACGGACATATAAGAAGCAGACGCCTTCATAACCTGAAAGAAATAAATTCCCTCAAAGGATCCTCGAGGGAATGAAAAAAATACATTTTGTGCCATAATATCTCACGCTCATAAATCCGTCCAAAGTCAAATCAACGATTTTCCCGGCGGTGAATGTCAGTCGTCTTTGGGATCGCACTATCATGAGCAATAAAACGCGACTAATAGACGGCGACATGTCGTACCATAGCGACTCGTAAGCTGCATCGCTAATCGACTTACTCTGGAAGAAGGTACGATCCAAGCTCAAAATAAGTATACGATTGGTCACACAAATGTTATTTTTATCACTTAAAGTGCTCAATATTTATATCAAGTATTTCAGAATTTTGTCAACAGATAAAATAGATTGCAGCAGGAGCCCCTCTAAATATACAATTTATACAAACAACTGCTTATCAGTTTTTTTCAGTTTCAAGTTAAACAAAATGTATAACTTGGAGTAAATATAAACAAATTAATAACTAATTCATATCTTACGCATACAGAAATAAATTGTGAAATATATAAATTTTATTCGTGTACCTTGGCCCTTAAGAACTCTCCCGCGTAACAGAACACGAATACTTCTATTGTCTTAGCGACATAAAGAAGCGTAGATTTCACCAAAACTGTCATGCCTTTGTTGCTGCTGAGACTCTGAGAGCAACAGACAAGGTGAACAAATGAACAATCGGAAGCGTGAAACAATTGATCTTACTTACAATTACGATCATTAGACCGCTGCAGCAGATAATCAAAGTGTTCCACAGGAGTTGCAGCAACGCGATGACTGTGAACACGCTTTCTATCTTGTCCGATAGAGCAACGATCTTCCGATGTTTGAAAACAAGATCCCTGATGATAAGTAGCGATTCACAGGGATTGTCGGTACCGGATAATTCTACTAAGGCTTTTCTCATTATATCAATTTGGCCACCCATGTGAAGTACCTGCAACGTATAGCAAAGTTGCTAGATTTAAACAGCGTTAATTTGTGAAATCAATGGTCAGAAATGTTCATTTTGCACCCTAGTTATTTCTGTATTTACATTTGCAATTATATATGAAAAAGTAATCTCAGTTCTTGCAACTGAACAAAGATTAGACAAGAGGGAAAAGAAAACTCGGTGACAAAAGATAAAAAACTCGATGATGAGAAATGATATTTCTGTTATCGCAACTGAGAACATCCCTTTAAACAATTAACTGCATTAAAACTCGCTTGAGAAAACTGAGAGCAAGTGTCTGAATAGAAACCTCATATAGAAACCTCCTATAGGAAACATTCTTAGTTGAATTAACGCGACAATGAACGAACCAAACGCGTTTTGATTGAAGGATCCAGAATTTCTAGTTATAAGAGCCAAATTTGGTTCATAAATTCCAGAAATTCTCTTTTCTTTCGATCAATTTCTTTTAACCAATTCAACCAATCTTTCTTCATCATGTGCTACCGAGTTTCCATCTGGTCCCCAGGCAACAGAAAATTCAGTTACGCTAACGGAGATCACATTTATGAACGTTATCAACTTACCAAGGAAGCGAGTAACGCATTGATCATGCCAACTATAGAAGCTATCGTCAATATGCAGAGAAATTGGCCGACCAAGATGCACTCAAAGAGCGGCGATTTGGTGAAATCGAAAGAGAACTCCATTTTCACGGGGAGTTCCCGAACGTCGCTGTTGCCTACCGAACGGAACATGTAAGCACCGACCGACAAAGAGAACCCAGCCATTGCATGGATGCCGATGAGAAAGTAAGAACAACGATGTGACTGGTTGGCCGCTGTCATCATGATGGACAGGGAAGAGTCGCAAGTAATGCACTCGTTCCA